GTAAAGAGAGGCATGCAGAATGTTGTACTGAGTATCATCCATTCTTATCATCTCTACAGAAGCTGAAGAAGACAGATTTTAATAACAAATGAAGAAGCTGCACTCCAGTCTTCCTTTTCTAGAGTGTGAAGTAATTCTTAATGAATGAGTATACTCAAACTGAACATCATTAATATATTGGATGTGAATTTAAACATAGATGTAATTGTAGAATTACATCCCTGATTTTAATTGTTTAAGGGCAAAATACAGTGTAAAAATGTTTCATTTGATTCTTATAATCTCAATTTCCTTCCATCAGTATACAGTAACTCAGATAGTTAAAATGGTATCCGTATCTTTCTAAAATGTATAGCATCCCAGTGCTTGTATACTATAAAGTCTTGTTTTTAAATTCTGAAAATTGTGTAAAGCCTGAATAAATGCATCAGCATACACTGGCATTATAAATGTAATTCTTTCTAGCAGATGTTCATTTAAAAAAAATGACCACTCTCAACTACTACAAACACCTGAAGCTCTCCAATTCAGCAGTAAGTATTCATTTGAATCAAAACATTTAGTAATAGCATGGCAGAGAAAGTTTGTATTTTTGCAAACTAAAAAAAAAACTCTAACCATGAATTTTAGACGATGCTTGCTGCTTACACGGAAATATAAATCTCTTCTCAGAAACCTGTTTTCCTCATACCAGCCCATATTTTACATTAGTTGGTCATGACTGGGTAACACTGGATAATTCCAGATCCACCAGCTGTTTGTTTGTTAAATTTTGCAATGAGTTTAATCTCCTTTAAGCTCCTGCTACAGCTCTCGCTGTCTTGTTCACTGCTCTGCTTTCACCAATTTGCCGGAAGAATAAAAAGACAGCTTTTACACTGCCCCCTGAAGTTAAGATCTTTGACTGCCAAAATTCACTAAAACACAGGTTCGAGCACAGCCATTCTTAAAATTCCTTTGGCCCATAAGCCATTTAGCAACGCCCAAAATGTTCATCAATGGCAAAAACTGAATAGCTGTGGCAAATAAGAAAATGCAACTCATGCAAAATCTATAGAACAGAATAGATGAACAAAATGTACAGTACAAAACAAGGCCAGCCCTTGAC